GACGTTAAGATTTCAACATGTAAATTTTGGAGGGACACAAACATTCGGTCCATAACGAGATGATAGAAAAATAAAACTCAGGAGGGAAACGGGAGAAAGGCAAGTTGCCACTTCATGAGTCAAGCGCCAAAGGAAAATCAGAATCCCAATAGCAACAAACACAGCAATGACCATGTATATGGTAACTACCTGCCACCAGGCCCTGTGCTAAATAAGCACCTTGCATCCATTAACACGGCGGTGCCAGGTCCGCTTGCCCTGGAGCCCATGCTCCGGTTTTTGCCTCCTCTGACTACTGCCCGCTCCCTCTGGGGACCGCCCTGCCTCCACTGTGCATCTTAGGCTAGAACGGAAGCCTCCGGAGGGCAGGGAGTTGCGTCTCTTCTGTGCCTCCAGTACCTACAATGCCTGGCGCACAGCAACAGCTTAGTAAAGGAATGAATCAATCAATGAAGGGATCTTTCACAGAGTAACAAATGTTCGTTGGGGCTCATTTACCAGGAAAAGGGAGTCTTGAAGAGTCATAAACAATAATAACGACTGCTTTTCTGTCTTACTCAAGAGGTGACTTCCTCTGTCCTAAGTGCTTTGCGCCATCCCTGGGAGGGAGAAAGTGAGTGCTGGACTCCGTGCAGCCGCTGAGGACACGGACGAAGGAAGAGGCGGCTTCGGCGACTCGCAAAGGCAATAATGCCACTGGAGGGACGCCCTCCGCTTCTGTCCCTTCCGAGACCTGCTCCTGCAGCGTTCCTGGTTTCTCATCTCCTTCTTACTTACATTAGCTGGCATTCCTTTCAGATGCTTGCAGAGAACTCTGGTAAAGTCACTGCCACCTTACGAGCTATGTAACCAGAATGTTACCTTTACACGTTAAAATCTATTCAGAAACCACTCCTCCGGAGCAGCCACAGGAAGTAACAAAACCCGATAATTATAACCGTAATAATATTAGGGAAGTTTTACTGAGTGATTACTATGAGCCCAGGCACTTGGCTAAATGCATGCTGTCCTTCCCCTAGTTCCTCCTCACCGCAACCTACAAAGCTGATCCTTTATCGTCCCCCACTTACAGACAAGGAAACTGAGGCTTAGGGAGGTGACACGACTTGCCCCAAAGTAACCAAGATCTGTGCTGCTCCTGAGGTATCTCCAGATGCCTCTGCTGCTTTCTGGTTTCTTTCTCTTTCTTGAGCATCCTTTCCCTGGAGACAAACCCTCCACGTCCCACCAAGTCTGGCTGTTTCACTTCTAAGAAGACAAGGACTGTAGGCTGATCACAGCTTGTTTCCTTGAAAACAAAGCAGCTCTTGGCAGCCACCTGATTCACATAAAGTACCAGGGCAGAGCCAGCCACCAGACCTGCGAAGATGACTAAAGCCCCAGCTGGCCGCTGCTCTCAACAAGATCATGGTCAACTAGAGAAAAGAGGCAAGTAAACAATTCTGCGGCTCAGATTACCCACCAGGCACCAGCAAAACAATACTCCATAATCCACCCCCCACTCCCCCCCAAAAAGAGGAAGAGAAAATAAGAGAAAACCCCTATAGAATTCTTCAATTCAAAAAGTGACTGAGACCACTGTGTTTCATAACCCAGCATTGTTTCAGGGTTTAATGATAGGGGTGAGAGGTGCCACTCCAATTTTTGTATTGTTAGGGTCACTACAGGACCTAAACACCAAGGACAAAAGCAGGTGGTACTCAGAATGGTTGGGGGGAGCGTGGGGTGGGGGGAGATGTGCTCATTTGCAAAAAGAGTTCTAGCTCCCATCTGTTGTGAAGGTTCATAGCAATTAAATGCTGGTCACATAGCCAGGCATGGTGCCTGGATGTAGCATTTCGCAAATACTCATAGAATCTGCACCAAGACTGAGGCTTCTGACCTCTACCCATGGCTCCTGCTCAGGCTCCAGAGGCCCCATTTCCCAGAACCCCAGTCCTTTCCCTGCAATGAAGCCCCCTCCCAAGGCTTCTTGGACCCACTGCCAGCAACCTGCTCCACCGAGGCAGAACAGGCTGGCAGCCAGAGTGAGCGATGTTTTCATGCAAGGTGATACATTTTCTAACTGTGCCTGGGCGAAATGGGGAGACTAGAGAACACACTCAATCCTCCTGGTCCGGGCCAAGAAGCATCCTTTGCTTGTTCTGAATTTCACTGTCCTCTAACTTCTGAGAATGCGCCCGGGGAGTAGTACAGCCCTGGTCCAAATCTAGATGACTCTGCCACTCTCTAGCTGTGCGACCCCGGGGGAAATATTTTTAACCTCTCCGAGCTGAGGGTTCCTCATCTGCAAAATAGCAATAATAATAATAATAATCCTATCTTACAGGATTGTTGGGAGATTAAACGAGATAATACATCTAAAGCATTCAGAACTGTGGTTGGCCCACAATAAGAATTCCATCATTGCGAGACATTTTATTAGAACGGTCTCGTGGGGTCGTAGAGAGCATAAATTGCAAATAACATGCTTGACATGCTATCTGATTTCAATGTTATGACAGGAACGACTATTATTGTAATTGTTATTAGTAATTACTGTTATTAGTTACTTGGGGCCAGAAAAACGGAAGAGACAGAGGAGGTGCCTATCAAAGAACCCATTTTAGCACCATTCTCCTGCAAGGCCTAGAATTTCTGAGGTTATATAGGGAAGGTATAGAAGTGACCATCGACAGGGTTCATCAATAGCAAAATTATTCTAGATTATTACTCTGTTCCCATCTTGGGTCCGGATGACCCTGCAGACACTGGGTGTATAAAGGTGGGGGTCTTGGTCTCTTAAAGAGATTACAAACCGGCATAGGAAGGAAGGGAGGAAGAAAGGAGGGAAGGAAGGAAGAAAAAAGGAAGGAAGGAAAAAGGAAGGGAAAAAATAAACAGGGAGAGTGCCATGTCTACACCCAGCTATGAAAGGAACTCCAAAATTAAAAGCCCGGGAGTCCACGCGGTGAAGAACAGTCATTAACAGGTCAGCAGCTGACCCCTCTCCATGGGACCTGACCAGCCAACCATCCAAGGTCCTCATTTTCCCAGAAAAGGGTCGATCTGCCAATGGTCTGAACAAAGTCAGGGACACTTCACACAAAGAGGAATTAGGAAGAGTGCCTTATCGTCCTGGAGCCCCCTTAGCTGAGCTGTAGAACAGTGTCCCTCCCCGTGAAGAAGAAGGCCCTGAGCATGGCAGACATGGGCTCCCCAACTCAGCCAGCCTGCCTGCCTGCCATTCAGGAGAAAAAAAGCTAAAAGCACAAGCTACTGACTGGATGTGGACGGTGATATAGTCACCCGGTTTTTAGACCAGCAATCACACAAACCAGCGGGGGTTAGATATGCCACAACTGAGAAAAAAAACTCCCTCTTTCCAGCCCAGAACAGCTCCAGCCAGGGACAGGAGAGCACACCAGAAAGCATGGGAGAGTGGGGGAGGGGGAGACGGAGGATCAATCAGAAAAAGAAACTGATTTCTTCTACTTTTCAAGAGAAGCCTGGTTTGTGCAAAATTTTACACTCAAAGTAGGTAAAGCAATAATAACAACAGAAAATCACCTTCTACCAGATAAAACAACAATGTGCCCACATAACAAATAGCCTCTGGGTTCATCAGGGACAGCCTAACAGTGGGCACTGGACCCACCCCGCCTTTCCAACCCCAGACTCACACGTGGAATTCCCATTGGGCCTCCTCGCCAAGGCCTTAGACCACGAGGCCGTCCTCGCCTCCAAGACACAGTGGAGACCCGGCCACGAGGCTCTGCTCAGCCCGGGATTCTGAATTTGTTCTTCTGCTGCTTCTAGGAAGGTTTTTCTCCTAATAAATCTTTCAGGAAGTTCCACTCAGGGTTCACAGGAGCCATACAACCCCCTTCTTCACTGGTTGGAGCCTTAGAAAGATTCGCTGTGACCACAGGACTGTGTCAAATGAACAAGCCTCAACTTGTCACCGCCAGTATGCAAAACAGGCCTGCATCATCCCATAACAAACAGTAAAGCAGATACAGTGCCCATGTCCCCAGGGCCCAGGCCCACCCACCACACACAAACACCCATTTCTCCACGGTTTCCTCCAGCAAGGAAACAATTCCAAAAGCAGGGGCTAGCTGTGGTGGTGAGGTGGCTCAGAGGGGGCTGCCAGCCAGCCTCTCTCTGGAAAACTAAGACCAGAAAGGAAACACCAAAACCTCACCCTATTCTCCCTAAAAACCCTCGCAAGTGATTTCCTCTCTTTTCCCATCTTCTAGAAGGGCCTGAAGTCAGAAGCTCCTGTGAACATAATATTCCATGCCTGCAAACTATCAGGAAAATCCACGGTGCATCCACACAGCGAACACATGCAGCCTCATGGCTGTCCTTCCTGGAAGCCTACACCCGACCACAAACACTGGCATAAAGAAGAGCACGTTAGCCGAGAGAGGGTAAAAATTAAATCAACAGCCAGTCCAAAAAGAATTACGGTGATAAAGCTTTGGGGGCATCCAGCAAATCTGGAAATGCAATGCAAAAGCAGAGAAAGTTTCAGAAAACAGAGTTGCTGAGTTTTCGGAAATCATGGGGTGGGGGTGGGGGTGGGGGGGAGATGGTCAAAGGATGGAAGGAGCATCATATGGCTCACAGACTTCTAGTTTCCCTGAAAGGGGCCTCCAAGCCACATCTGCGACCCCAAACCGGTACTGATTGGAGGTAGTCTATTTTTAGACATTAGGTAATAGCCCCTCGATCAAGTGCATAAAATCCAGAATTCTCTCTATGCTCGGGCATTTGATGTCAGCCTCCTCCCCTCCCCCTCTCCCCAAACGCCCAAACTCCCTGCCCGTCCTGAGCCTGGTGATGAGGAAAGTGCACGGTTAACACACACGCGCGCACACACACACACACACACACCCCGTAGTCCGAAAGCCCCTTCCTCTGTCCAGCAACTCACTGCGCATACCGACCCGCAAGGCCCCAAAGCTTTTCAGAAACGAGTTTTCAGACACGCAGAGGAGAAAACCCTAACTTACTGGAAGGTGGATCCAAGCCGTGTCACCGGGGCCGCCAACATCCTTTCCGCGTGGAAATCCACTGAGGGGCTTCTGGGGGGTAGCGGGGTCCATCCTCGCTCGCGGCCCCTCGCTGCTCCCTGCAGACCAGGCCGCTCCT